TTCTTTTATCTTAATTTCATCTTTTTTTAGATATAATTCAAGCGAAAAGGCCTATTCTTTTCCTTTTGCAAGTAATGATCGTTTGAAAAGCTACTACACCCGATCATATGGAAACGCATAATTATATAATTGCTTTTTAGCGCATTTTTGCAAAAATTTTTTTTGGTAAAAAGTAGCTTTTAATCTCACTTTGGCTGGCTGGCTGGCTGGCAGTAAATGCGCGCCCGTAGAAAAACGCTTGTAAAAAGACAAGGAGTGTACATGTAACTATCGGGGCCGTGTAATTAAGAACGTTAGGGATGGGGCTACAAGATTTGGAGTCGACGACATCTGGACGCCATCCCCGAGCGTATTATACTAACCTGGAGATTTTTCAGTTTTTATCTATCTTCTTCTACAGTTTTTCTCCGATTGTTTTCAAATTGGTGTCGTCGGGAAGATCTTGTCAACGCGCACAACTCCTGCGTGGCGGAATTTTGTTTTTGTTTCCTAGGGGCGAAATAAACCACCTTTTGCGCGGCGCGCTTCGAGGGGTAGTCGACTTTGGGCGCCCAAAAGTTTCTTACAGCGCGAATCGCGGTCTCTCTTTCTCGTGTCACTAATAGAAGGTCGAGCTATGTGAAGTACCCAAAAGTTGAATACGATTTTATGCCGGGATTTTAGCGAAATCTACCAAAATGGGAATTACGAATGAACGGGACGTCGGAACTGTGTATCGACAAAGGGAATGTGGTAACCCCCGACGAGATCTTACTGATGGTGGAGTCAAAACTTTAAACGCGAATTGCGAGTGCACGGTAAGTGAGAAAATGGTACCGACAAAGTGAACGTGGTAGCTTTCGGCAAGATCTTATTGATGGTGGAGTCAATATTGGCTAATAAAACGGGTCTAGGACACTTCGCCGAATGCCCACAACGTCGACACGATTTTTTGAAGCTCCATATCGCCGACTAGGGACACTACGCCGACGGACACTACGCCGACCGTGCCCACATCGCCGACAAGTGTGCAAGGGACACAACGCCGACCATGCCCACTTCGCCGACGGACACTACGCCGATCGTGCCCACATTGCCGAAACGTGTGCAAGGGACACTAAGCGGAACGTGACCACAACGCCGACTGTTCGAAAATCCAGGCCCCTCATACTCTGTCCAGTGTATGAGTTTGCATTTTAAAAAGTTTTAAAAAACATGTCCTAAACCTACAAATAACCTAATATCCAAAGCTGCTTTGCTTCACACTCCGTCCAGTTTGATTAAGAATTTTCGTATGAGTCTGTAGTTCGGAAAAAGTTAAAAAAATATTCTGAACCTACAATAACCTAACGTCAAAAGCTACTTGGTGTTGCACACCGTCCAGCTTGATTAAGAAGTGTTGTATGAGTCGACGTTATGGTCACGTTCGGCTTAGTGTCCCTTGTTCACTTGTCGGCGATGTGGGCACGGTCGGCGTAGTGTCCGTCGGCGAAGTGGGCATGGTCGACGTTGTGTCCCTTGCACACTTGTCGACGATGTGGGCACGGTCGGCGTAGTGTCCGTCGGCGTAGTGTCCCTAGTCGGCGATATGGACCTTCAAAAAATCGTGTCGGCGTTGTGGGCATTCGGCGAAATGTCCCGGCCTCAATAAAACACTGATCTGCCACACAAAAATGCGCTGAAGTCCCTTCGATCTCACACGAGGACTTTGATAATTTTTTTACTTTTTCAAAGTAATGAGTTGCGAACAAACAACTGGTGTTTATTATTTATAGAAAACCAAGGAATTAAATTTCTTTTTCAATAAACTGGTATCAAATACTTTTGCTGAATAAATAGCTTTCAACTTGCGTATCTCAAAGGATATGTAGAAAGAGAAACCAGAACTATTTTTGACACAAAAATATTCATGCGGAAATCCCTCGAGAAATCCTTCCACAGTAGAATTCAAAGAGTAATTTTTGTTGCGTCTTTCAAGCGACTGAATGATCTTTCTTTAATAGCAGTTGATGTAATGGCAGAAACTACTTATGAAAACTACTTATATAGTTACAAAGGTCTAACGATACTTTTACACGACCTCACAATAACAGCAGAGCCCTTGCCATTAATGCATACCGCGCTGCTTGAACCGAATCGGCGCAAGTTTGACTATACGATTACCGCGGATTCCTAATCGAAAGAATAAAAAATCATATTAAATTAAATTAAAAAGGAATGTCAGTTAAAATTTGGCGATATGAGTATCCTTCAAAAAACATGTGGAGCTGAAATGTGTAGTTTCTGTTTGGAATGCTGAACAACATACTGAAATTTCTAAAAGTAACGAACAACGACAACCATGCTTATAGGCCGTCCTAAAGAGCTAGGTACGTCAAAAATTTATAAATTTTTTTATTGTGTCAATAAATCGTAAAAATGACACAAATTTTTATTCATGAACAAGTGTCCTCGTTTAAACAGTACCCTATGTACCAATAGTCGATCAGTCCCCTAAAATCGTAAAATCGTCAGGCGAGATACCAGTCTGCGGGCGACTGTATCCCCGTGTAAAAGCGGTCTTAAGGAGCGTAAGGACGAGTCATTTGTACCTACTAACATATTTGATTTCTAAAGGCTGCAATTTGAAGTTGACTTTCAAATCGAAAGTAAATGAAACTAAACTGCCATGTGATCTTCCCATAAAATAGGTAATTTTATTGAATCTTTCCACTCTTCAATAGTAAAATTTTGGCTTTCATGAAAGTATTTCTAACACAATCTTCACATGGTAACTTAAAAGTTATGAGAACAATCTAAAATATCTCGTGTTTCTCCTTTTGCACCACGATAGCGCTGTTACATCATATAAAGTAGACTACTGAATATTACGATATTTCTTAAAAATAGCGGAATTTCATTCCAACAGACAAGTTTCGGTACAAAAAAGGAATTTCGAATTACACTGCATGGTGTTAAATGACGGAATAAAAGCGTACCTACCTACTTCTACTTGCAACCTGCAAGGGAAGGTGCAGCCAAACAGCAGATCAAAATGGTGTATTTACGATTTTATGAGTGGAGAAATGAATTTTAAATAACTTCTGAACATTGGATTTGGTATAGGAGCAAAATTACTTGACTCACCTTACGAAGATAAAATTCACAACGCTTCAGAAGAAAGTAACACTTCTATTTTGTATCATTTTTCAAAGTAGATACTGTGTTTTTTCCAATTATTTCGAATATATACCTAAATTGCACATGCAATAAACAAAAATTGTTTATAATCGTAACAATGTTACTGCAAATGTTAATATAATAAATTAATAAATAATATAATTTTTAAAAGTCAATCCTAGATTGAGAATTACGCCATAACAAAATGCAAAAATTTCAGAAACATTACTTGTTCGTCAAGTAGCTTGAGGATTTTCCATATTACTTGACTTGGAAACGAAAAACCAATTGGACTTGACTTGATTTTCAAGTCGTGTCGTACTTGATATAGTAAATAATGTAACACTAAACCAGAGTCCATTCTAACACAGAAAAACTTCGTAGCAATAGAATAGCTATAGAAAAGGCGGTCAGTAGTGTTATTATTAATATTGTATTATCTTCTTTATGCATAACACTCTTCTGTACGTGTGTGACCGAACTCCTCCTAAATCGCTGGATGGATTTTGATGAATTTTTTTCATGTGATTTAGATTCACAATTGGGCATTTTCGGATTTTTTTAAACTTCTTTTTTCGTCGATTTCTCACTCTACTATTTCGCGTACCGATCGATACATGAGCCAAGTCTCTTGCGTCGTACCGTGCTGATGTGTTTACATTTTCACATTGTGTACGCAGGGTTTTCGGTATCATATATCATTGAATATCGAGCGTACGTGGTCGCGAGGGAAAATCTAGTCCTAGTTTTCTATTTGAAATTACACAATTTTAAAACATTCACATTTACGTATAAGTATAGCAATTCTGGACTGCAGGGGTTATAACGAAAACACTTACATGCATTGCAATGGTTAAATGATCTATAAGAAACCCCTCAATCGTCTTCTAGAGATTAAATCTCACCCTGTTTTTAAATTACGGTTTCCGTCATGCTTTCGTCATTCAAAATGCGTGTCCGACCTGTCATCAATTCTTGGTGCGCTGTGAAGGCGAACCAGACTTAATTATCAGTCGACTTGTCACTGGAGATGAAACCTCGGTTCATCATTATGATCCTGAATGGAAACAAGAGTCGATGCAGTGGCATGTTAAGAGCTTCAGCTCTTCCAAGAAGTTTAAAGTTCTGCAGGAAAAATAACGGCACCCATTTGTGGGAGGATTTTGCTGATTGATTATATGAATATGGACAGTACGGTAACGGGAGAAAATTACGCAAACCTGATGCATTGCGTTAGAGATGCTATTAAACTGAAAAGACGCGGAAAACTGACGCAAGGTGCCTTGTTGCTCCACGACAATGCACCAGTGCACACTCAAAAGCTGCTATAGCTGACTGTGACTTCGAAGAAATTGATCATCCGCCTTATAGTCCAGATCTAGCACCCAAGGACTATTTTCTGTTCCCTAATCTAAAAAAAGCACTAAGGGGGGCAAAATTTAGGCACAACGACGAACTAATCTTGCAATTGCCCTCTAAACATAAATTTTCTTCTCTTTTAAACTCACGTAATTTTAGAAAATGCCTGGGAAAATGCTCACTTACATGTGTGTAGCAACATTTGTAGTACCTATACCAAATATTGTTATTTCTTTGATAGATTTTTTAGGTTTTACCAACCCGTCCTGCTATCTAAAATAAATTTCCTTCTCGTTTTGAACTGATGTTTTAAAACAATCACCCATGTTTCTTTAAGCGATTGTGTTTAAATGAGCAACGAGCAACTCTCCAATTGCCTTCTTTAAACTGAATCCCGTCCTGTTTTCAAATTACCTACTCTTCTATAAAATTTTGCCTTACATGTAGAAAGTGATTCATCTAGTCAAGTACCTTGATGATTGTACATTTAAAAATTAAGGGCCGAATGCACAAACAATAAATAATCAGGCCGTTAGTTAATCGGTATGATTAAATTAAACCTTTGATTAAATTAGATTGGTATGCACAAAACAAAAACACTCCTTGATTAACTAACCAAGGTGATTAAGCATTGATTAAATATTTAGTAAGAATTGGCGCCGGCAACGTTGTACTTTTATGGAAATGTGTGATTTTTTTTACAAAGCCTACTTTAGTGGAACGCTTTTCTTTTTTGTTATCTGTCATCTAATAATCAATTTATATTATTGGGTTAATAATGGAAAAGAAGATACGGGGAAAAAACTTTACCGAAGTGGAAAGAGAACATTTACTCCAAATAATTGAATCGTAAGCAAATTTACATTGTTATTATACTCGTAGTAACTTAGTGATTGTCCTGAATTCGATAAAAGTTCCGGTTGAATTTTGAGTTGTTATAGGTATCATTTTAGCTGCCACAATAATTACAATGATAAAGTTTCTCCGAATACTCATGTTTTTCCAATTTAGTAAGAAACATATACTAGAATCGAGAGTGACGAGCGCCCAGATCCTTCTGCAGAAACAGCAAGCTTGGAAGTGCGTTACAGAAGATTTTAACTCCGAATGTATCAGCAAAAGAACCACCAAGCAATTAAAGCATTTTTATGATAACATAAAGCGGAATGCGAGAAAAGCGGAGGCATCGAGTAATGTAAGTAATATACGTCGTTTGTGTTTATAAACATAGCTATTATCGGTACGATTCTAGAAAGAAAGGTACCGAGAGCAATTAAAAAAAGCTTTCGATGGAGAAATGTCACAAGACGATATAGAAAAGCTTCCAGAAGAAGCTTTATATGCCGCAAAATGTGAAAAGGTAATTTAATCATGAAAGGATTCCGTCATTTTTAATTGTCTGTTTTATTCTTATTTCCAAGGAAGGAAGAAAGAAAACTGGAGGAGGAAGCTGCGAAAGCACCACCAACGACTCAATGAGTCTGGTGCTATCGATAATGGGTGATACGGTAAAGCCTTTACCAAATCCATTTGATAGTGCCAGCTCTTATCACGGTACAAATCAAAGTTTGCATTTACTTAATAAAAAACATTGTTTTAAAGATGACGAGGCAATATTGCTATTAGAACCTTCTCCCCCAGCAATCATCCCTGAAGTGGTGGACCAAAGTATACCATCCTGTTCCTTTTCTTCCATAGCTGATCGCCAACCTGCGCCAAAAGGTGGAATAATTGCTGCAAAACGGCGACCTAAAACTAAGATGTCCATTCAACAAATTAAAAAAAATTACTACCTTCAAAAGTTGAAGAATGCTAGGCTGGAATACAGCACTCTC